GCTACGGACGTGCCTCCGTGGTCACATATACACACTCCTTCGTTTTAGCCAAGTGCGCTTCCTCTACACCAAGGGGTGCTTTACCATCCAAAGTCCGTTGGCCAGGATTGGTGTTCATGTATGTTGTCTCAATGCTGCCGTTACCCATCTGTTTTGAAACACCATCTTATAAACCTTTGTGCTTGTCATAACCAAAAAGTATTGGCATCAGATGAGAGGGACGCCAAAATATTGAACCAATGAAGCTACAAAAAACATTTACCTGATCCAATTCCCCATTTATTCTTCCAAACGTCTCCGACTGGACATGCTGGTGCAACGTCTTCACCTTTCCTCGTAAAACGAAGGCAGGCTCTCTGACCAATCCTCAGTCGCCCTCTTTGGCTGTAGCTGGAACAGGCCTTTTAAACGTGCTATAAAGGCTATTCGCTTTAAATGTGCTCTGGGTGTGCCTAATATGTCCGCAGCCAAATGTCAAAAGAGTTATATATCTCTTTATGCACAGAAGGGCCCTGAGGGCTTTAATTGACTATGGTGTAAAGGGAGTTGAGGAGGGGTGAAGGAACATGATGAAAATGAATACTGTTCATTATCAGACAAACAGAGCCCAATGGCGCTCCTAAAATTGGCAGGGAGCAAAGATTTCCCAATGTTAAAGCACATTTGTCCGCCGAGTAATTATCGAACTGAACTTTTCATGGCATTGTTTCAAAATTAGGAAGAATTATGCATTTTTCACATTTAATGTGTGTGAGTGGCAGAGGGCTGCCAACTGAAGCCTGTGCGAGTGTGTGTATATAGCCAATCTAATATAAGCCTACACTCTATGTAATTGAATTAATGCAGGTATAAATGCAGGTCTGCTTCACTAGGTTATAAAATCGAGTCCCAGCAGATTAGCTTTTAACTTTAGAGATGTATTACTATAAACTAGTTTATCTCTCTCACTCCCCGCACAATACGCCGTCTCCGTAACGTCTGCTTTCCGAGCCCAACTTCTGTGATATTCCCACTCTCTGCGCTGCGCTCTACGACCGCCTGGCAACTTCAAATATTTATCAAATGGAGGAGGGGAAGAGAGAGCCCTCTCCATCCCTCTACAGTCATTTACCAATTATTTTGAGTACCTGCTGACAGGTACGTGTCACAGTCAGCTACCCTTCCCCAGTCCTTCTCCTCACATGATTTACCTTTCCCCCTGCTGAGGAGGAAGCCGCCAAGCTACAGGCAGGGAGACAGAGGAAGTGTGGCAGAAGAGGGCTGCTGTGGCATACAGCTGAAATTCTCACGCTTTGATTCAGGGAACGGTTGAAAAAAAATACTCTCTTTGTCAATGCATTAGAGGCAGAGAATGACAGAGGAAACGTAGAGGCGAACTGACAATTGGGTCGGAATAGAAAACAAGCTCATTAAACCAGGAGAGCGATATACCAACAAAACACCTATCAAGGTCTGTCACTGTATATTCTAGCATTTGAAAAAAAGAAAGAAACAATATGCGCACCAAAAGTGTCACACACACTTTTGACAGTGTACAGTCTACATTAGTGTCAAGTTGGAAAGATGAGCATTGGGGACTTGAAATATATTTTTGTTTTAGGGCTAAGAAAGCTATGTTCTCTTTAAACAAGCACTAAATCAATTATGTTTCTTGTGCTTTCATATGTATGTGCAGGACTGTGAATACAGGAAGAATATGCGTCTGTGTGTGTCTATATATATATATATATGCATGAGCGTTGTGTGTATGAGCCACAAAACACTGAAGGCACGAAGTACTGCTCTCATCAGAGCAAGGAATAAATGAACAACTCTCCAATGTATGTGTGTGTGTGTGTGTGTGTACACAGGTATATATGGTTTATGAGGACACAAATGTGTATAATGACATGGGTACTACAACGTAAACATGGTTTATGAGGACACTTCCTGTGTCCCCGTAAAACAAAAGGCTTAAAAAAACATACAAAACGGTGTTTTATGAAATTCAAAAACTTGCAGCAGTTTCCTGTGAGGGGTAGGTTTAGGGGTAGGGTTGGTGTAGGGCAATAGAAAATACAGTTTGTACAGTATAAAAACCATTACGCCTATGGAGAGTCCCCGTAAACCACAAATACAAGTATGTGTGTGTGTGTGTGTGTGTGTGTGAGTGTGAATGTGTGTGTGTGTGTGTGTGTGTGTGTGTGTGCGCGTGTGCGTGCACCTCCTCGAGGGGGCACTTCACAACACTATCAACGTTCTCTGTGCTCCAAATTGTCTGCTTTCTCTCTTTTGAAAAGCAGCAATACTCTATGAAAAAAAAAACAGCAAACATGAAAAAGGAGAAGAGTAAATGAAGATAAGAGACTGGTTAAGTGGGTATTCTCTCACTCTTTCCTTTTGAGTTTCAGTGGCTGGATTACAAAGGTGATTTGACATACAGGTTTGAGATTATCAGGGGAGAGATGGTGTACAGCAGTGCTTCTCAACTGGTGGGTCATGGTCAAAAAGGGTGGGGCGGAAATTATGTTTTGATAATATAATGATAAATAATAAAGAATAAAGTGGAACTAATTGTATAATTGTGCATATTTCGAACAAATAATGTTATTAAACAGCCTTGCCAACCTTTAAAAGGGTAGAAGAAAACAATTCACATATCTTTGGTTGTTGCCAAAGGTCATGCATCCAATCAAACTCTACAGTATTTTGGTGAAAATGCATCTGTCATTGGGTAGACCCTAACAAATTAGGCTCATGTCAACATAAATAGGTTGCTTGACATGCTCTTATCCTCAAAAGAAAGAAAGAAAGAAAGAAAGAAAGAAAAAAGAAATGCTGACATGCATGAAATAATTAAAATTCATTTCTATACTATAATCAATTCTGGTAATGTGTTGGGTCACCACTTCATATCTAAAGTGCTTAACATCCACTTGATATCTAGTCCTAAATCAGTTGAGAACCACTGCCATACAAAACCCTGGGGAATGACTTGATGGAAAAGACATCAATCTGTAGGAACGTTTTTATAATATAAACAAGCTTTTATATCATGATATCTTAAAATAAGGTGGGAGTTTTTTTTTTTTTAATTCATGGTCCTTTTTTTCTGTTTTTATGCACATAATAGTGAACAGAAAGTGCTGCGAGCCAGATCTAAACTCAAATTTTCCATATGAGCTCAATTTTAGCGCACATGTGTGAGCCACTAGGGCACAACTTGAAACCTTTATAAATAACATTGTTATCTTTTTCAAAGTTCATACAAAAAAGGAAAATTGTGTCATTATTACCTGTCATTATTTGCTCACCTGTTCCAGACCTTTCTTCTGTGTAATACAAAAGATGGCATTTTGAAAAGTGATAGTAAAAGTTTTGGTAACTAACAAACAAACTAACTAAATAAATAAATAATATTTTCTTTCATATTCCACAGAAGAAATAAAGTCATATAGGTTTGGAACAACAAGAGAGTGAGTAAATTATGACAGAATCTTTATTTTTTTGAGTATATTATCCCTTTAACATGACTTGCAGATAGGAGGGAGATGTGTCTGTCTGCTGTGATGCTTTCAGTTTTTTCTGCACTGCCAGTACCACTACGTGGTTCTAATCCCACATCAGTGACCCGGACCCGCTACATTACGATCCTATCGGGCAGCGCACGATACGCCTCTAATTGAAAAAGACCCTGCACCATGTCTAAACCTCTCCTTGCAACTCCAGCGCATGTTGTGTCTGCATGCGGAATCGGATCTGTAAGAGGCTTACGCGCTCGTGTGCATGTCTGTGTGAGAGCGTTATGCTAAGCATGCGTGTGGGTGCGTGCGCCTATATGCGATACGTTTAAAACAGAGTAGATTGATATTTGAAACAGCCAGGCAAAGGAAGGAATTAACCACCTTTACTTGGTTTTAATTACAACAAAGTCCACCTCTGTAGCAGAGAGCTAAATATACATGCAGGGTTTTCCTGTGGGACTGAAGTTAGCATGCCTTACGGCTGCTCGTACCTCAAACACACACACACACAGCACAACCTTAACACCAGAAATAAAACAGGCCATACATCCTTACTGTGTATTTTGGGATCTCAGTCTAATTCAATAAGATAATGCTACAAAAAATTATACATTAAAAAGAAAGAAATGGAAGAAAAGAAGAAGAAAAAAAATCAAATTTGAAAAGAGAGAGCAAAAGGCACAGGGGAATATTAGATGAATCCAGGTCTTAGGGGTGTTCCAGCGAGTAAAATAAGGTTGAACCTCAATAGGATCAACATTCAGGGCAAAACTGCAATAAAAGTAGAAATGTGACAGGGAAAATGATCTGTAATTAGGACAAACAGCACTAAAAGCAAGTTCAAAGATAATTGTTTTTGGAGGGGCGTGTGACTGACTGCCAGGATTCCCAGGGTGGCCAGTCTGCTTGCGTGAAGATTGAAAGTGAGAGAGAGAAGGAAAGACTACATGATAAAAGAAAGCAAAGATGAAGGACTCTGCAGAAGAAAAAAAAAGGTTAAGAGGAAGGAAGGAACACTCAACAGCAGGACAGAAAGAGAAAAAGTGAGACCTTAAACTGAGCGAGGGGGTGAAGGAAAGTCAATGAAGGTAAGATCAGTCCATTTGAGAGAAAAAAAACATTAAAAAAGAGAGTGTGAGAGAAAGTTAACAAAGACACCCTACCGAACAAGCACCAATCCATCATAAGACCAAGCATAAAAAACAACAAGTGTCCCAACACCCTTATCCCCACACACATCTCCACACAAAGACTGCTATTGTGGTCGGTTTTCACAACCAGGCATAAAAAACAACAAGTGTCCCAGCACCCTTATCCCCACACACATCTCCACACAAAGACTGCTATTGTTGTCGGTTTTCACAACACTATGGCCTTTGATGGATTCTGCAATAGATGACAGGGGTCAGGGTATAAAACGCATTATTCATATTTGTTTTTTTTGTGTTTTTTTTTATGTTTGTAAAACAGCCCAGGCCCCACTTTTATATTAATCACCTGAGGAGGGTGTTGCATTCCCAAGGAGTCAAGGGAGGAGGGACCTGCAGGCTGTCCTTCATAACTTTACATGCACTTTCTCTGTCTGTCTGTGTATCAGGAAGCTGAGAAGCAGCAGGAAATTGTGATAATGTGAAATGCTATAAATGATATAATTTCATTTCATTTGCAAAACTGCCCAGGCAGCCTTCTTTTTTCTCCCATTTCCTCTCCGTTAGATGAAGTCACACTTGGCATGTGTGAAACATAAGCATAATTGTGCTTGAACTGACTCAGACGAGAGCGAAAAATACACACAATGGCAGTGAGATGAGCAGAGACAGATAGAGAGAAAGAGGGCCGCTTGTCCTTTAGCAGTGCATGCATTCTATTTCCCCACACATGCCAATAACACAGGAGTAACCGGATGCGAGAATTAAACCTCATTGTCCGCAGATATGTCCTGCTATATTTAGTCCATGTTTTTTGTATGATGCTCTGGGGTCGCTTCACGTCGACAAAATATTGTGTCGGCAACACCGTATCCGTCTCTATCTGTGCATGTTTGAAAAGAAAAAAGGGCACTATTAAATAAAAAAAGACACAAAAATAATTATTCCGCAGCACACTTGAGCGACACATCCTGAATACACAAAGCACGGATCACGTGTTTAATAAAAAGGTTAATCAGTTGTTAATCAGAGGATTTATAACTTGTTATTTCCTTTACAAAACCATTAATACTATGCCATTAATATTTAATGCTGATGTTTTTTTTTTTTCTTCTTTTTTTCATTGGGCGGGAAGAGTAGACTGCGAGAATTAGGAATCCACATGCTAATGTGCATTAATCATGCTTTGTTAAAGACAAATAAATTCCTTCATGTTTATTAATACAACCTCAGAGACAACAATACACTTTACATTATTTAAAAAGTTATTAATAAAGTATTTATCAGCGGTGCCACTACAGGACAGAGAAGGGTACAAACAGGCTAATGTACATAGCCCACAATCACAGACCCTCAGGATAAGGATTATTATGATCTGAATGGTGGTATTATCACTTTAGGATGCGGTTGAGGTGGTTGAACCTGAAGTCTTGCACTTTTAGGTAAAACAGGAACCCAAAAGTTTTGATTTGAGAAAAGATGTTTGGTTCCTTTCTGAAAAACAACAACAACAACAAAATCAAAAAAAAACTGGACTTGGGCACGCCCAAGGCACTGTCGCTTCCCAGAATATAGTGACGCCTGTGTGTACGGTAGGTTGAACATCAACGCAATAGTTTAGTTTTTGGTCTTAACACTATTGATGGAGAGAGCAGAATACACAAACAGTGTGGGCGTTTTGATTGAAGTGAGTTAAAAATACAATTCTATTGATTTCAACTGTGATAGTGTTGAACAACAGGAAGCATGAGGGGTGCATTATGATGGCACAGACTCCGTGATTGACTGATTAAAGAACTATACATGGTGCTTTTAAAAAAAATAATGATGCAAGTAAGTGAGGCTGGAAGTGTTTGATTTAAATTGCTCTGAAACGGTTAAGTACCATAGTTTAAGGTAAATTGCTAGACAAAAAGATGTCAAGACGAAGGAAGATGTTTCTCAGCAGATTCTTTTTCTCCTCCTTACACACTTTCTTTTTGGCTTTGATATTTTTTTTTCACCTTCAAGGCCCTTTTAATGTGAAATGTATCCTTATATGAGTATCATTTTGAGATTTAATCTTATAAACAAAAACTGAACAACACACGTTAACTGTCTTCAAAAAAAAAAAAAAAAACTTTTGTAGGTTGCTTATGTAAATGTCAGAATGTAAGATCAAATGTAATAAATAAATAAATAAATAAATAATCCTCTTGTTTGTAGTTGTTTCCTGTTAATTATTATTATTATTATTATTATTATTAAATATGATTAACATGAATAAAAATCATTAAAGACATAATATGCTTGAATGAAGCATTAAATTGTCAATAAAGTAAGTTTTGACTTGGTCAGAGGAACATTAAAATAATATAAAATATAATAAAAATAAGAAGATGATAATGATAATAATAATAATTATCATTATTATTGTTATTATTATTGTTATTATTATTATTATTATTAAATATGATTAACATGAATAAAAATAATTAAAGACATAATATGCTTGAATGAAGCATTAAATTATGAATAAAGTAAGTTTTGATTTGGTCAGAGGAACATTAAAATAATATAAAATATAATAAAAATAAGAAGATTAATAATAATAATAATAATAATAATACTCTGTTGTTGTTTCTTGCTAATAATATACATAAGCAGTTTAACATTATTTTAATGTTCCTCTGACTGAATCAAAGCATTATCTTTATTATTACTGTATAAGACTAATAATATTTATAATAAAACTATATTATCTTTATACTTCCATCTTTACACTTAAAGGCAATATGAACAGAACATGAGGGTTAAGGTTCATGCAGAACTGCAATAGGAAGGCTCTTTACACAATATGTAAGACATTATCACTGTTTCAAATATCAACATTGGCTACCAGAAATCGCTTACTCTGCCTTTAAAAAATTTTTTGTTTATATTCAATCAAAGTTGGGTTGTACTTCGATCAAATAACTGAATGGATTTCTCAGAAAATGCAATCCATCTAGCTGTCAATGCATCCATCCATTCTGTCAGCAATCTAGTAGTGGCCCAGTGCCGTCAAAATATAAATAAATATAAATAATGCACGTCTACATGTCTTTAATGGATATCAGCTGAGAACGACTTGAGTGAAACCTCTACAAATCTATGAGCCTGAAGCCAGTGATGAATAATTGTTGAATAAAGTGTTTGCTGTGCTTCACACTCTCTTCACATTAATACATGGAAAGCATGACCATGACTCCATCCAATCCACTAGCTATTATAGAGTCCTCCGGACCAAACACCCAGATTGACTGATCAGGAAAAAAAAATAAAAAGATCTCCACAATGCCACCATCATGCCACCCCACGTGGCATTTAAACCACCTTCACCCCATTGTCTCAAATGAACAGAAAAACCACAGAGAGAGACAGCGAAGGAAGAAAGAGCAGGAAAAGATCGAGCCGCTGCCAAAAAATAAGCCTTGAGACAGTGGGAGAGAGATCCATTTTGTGTTTCGGTTAAACACTGATTTCATCACTGGACTAAAACACATAACTTTAAAAGCGAAATCAAATATTAAAAATGACAGGCGGTATAAGTATGGTGAGTGAGCCAGGGTCACGGAGGGAGGAGGCGCGGGCGGCTTGTCAGCCACTATCTGTCAGAGTGAATTAGAAACAATCAGGGGCGACTGAAAGGGAAGGTGATTGTTATTAAGCAGCGGGGCTGCGAGCAAGCTCCCCCAGATGTGGCCATGCATATAAAAGAACAGGAAGCCAGCAGTTTAATTCAGGAAGCGCTAGCGAACACGGCCTGCACAAAGGAGGAAGGAGGAGGGGGAGGGATGAGAGCAGGAGAAAAAGGCCTTTTGTTACTAATAAGCTGGAAGTTACTTTGATAACAGGCAAGGGTTAGGCACCGGAATAAAGGCGGCCCCCCCTTCCCCTACGCGAGCGCTCACTTGTTTCATCCTCAATTCATATTTTCAGGAGGACAGGCCGCACCAGTCAGTCAATATCTGTGGGGGAATATAATGGGAGTGGAGAAATAGTAGATAAGTTGACCTTAACAAGGGTGAGGAGAAGAGACAGCCACAGCCATATATCAATTACCCAGCTGCGATCACACTCTGATGATGTCCCCTGATGATCTCTCTCTCTCTCTCTCTCTCTGCCTTTTTTTCCTGTCTCCCTCGCTCGTTCTCTGCCACCAGCTCGGGGAAGCTCCTCGGAGGCAGCCATCATGGCCGCAGATTGTCGTCAGGGGTGACGGGGGCAGGGAGGGGATGTGTACAATATGTTTTTCGAAGGGAGCGGAGGCTCGATTTCAATGATAAGAAAAGAGGCTAATCTGCTGCGCCACGGCCTCAAAGGCACATCCACTCTGACAGTCCAACCCTCCCGCCACAAGGGGAAACACGCGCTCGCACAAACGCTGACCCGAAGGGGCCGAGGACTCCGTCACACATGTCCACAGAGTAGCTACAAACATTGAGCACATCAAACATGGCTACTTTCATGCAACTCTTGACAACTGTGACACCAGGCTGCCAACTTCTCTGCTCAGAAACAGAAGAAACTGAGGACTTTGGGTAGACGGCTCACTCTGATAGTTAGCGATCATACAACGTGCTGTTAATATATGTAAGCTTGCATCACCCTACGTGGCGAAGAGAATCTCTAGAGAGAGTGGTTTTGTTTGTTCTCCCCAGCCTGTCAAGAGAGACTGCTAACTTCAGCTATGCAAATACTTCACCAGCTGAAAAAAAAATAAAGAGTGTCATTCGAAAAGTCTCTCTTTCTTTAAATGACAGCGATGCTTTGATTTTCAGCTTTCTTTGTAGTGAGAGATATCTATGGAAATTATCCCTGCCTTCAGATTATTTTTTTTGTGTGTGTGATCCTGTAATAGCTATAACTGTTAAATAAAAGCCATGTTTTCTTCAGAGATAGAAAAGCAGCAGATTCAGAAACATGTCACCCGTCTCTGTTTTTTAAGCATGATGTGAGAATCTGTGACTGGAGGGTTGTGGTGTTAAACATGCTATTGCTAAATATTACCTCAGGGAGTAACAGTGTATGTATATGTATAACACCTGAGAGAAGGAGAGAAAGAGAGAGGGAGAAATGAGGGGGAGTGGAGCATGTTACAAAAATCCAGGCGAGACACATACGGACTGACTGAAAAATGTTACAGAAGGATGGAGAGAATGAAGAGAAAGAGCGAACAAAAGAAGGGTGGTTAAAGTAACAGTTCATCTGAAAATACAATTATGCAACTTCTACTCAACCACGTGCTGTGGAATGCAAAAGGGGAAATGTAGCAGAATGTCTGAGCTGCTCTTTTCCATACAATGAAAGTGGATGGGGACTGGAACTGTCAAGCTCCAAAAAGGAGCAAAAATAATTAAAATGTATAATTAATGCTCCATAAATGTGGTCATTATGGCTAATGTGGTCTACTTCAAGTCTTC